CCATGAGAAATCATGTTCAACAGTGGAACAAGGCTCGGCGCCTATAGCTCAACCGGCTAAGGCGCCAGCCACGTACACCTAAGGTGACGGGTTCAAATCCCCAGCCCGGACCCGCCAAACAACAATGACGGCTGCAACCAAAAAATAGCCGGGCGTTGTGGCGGGCGCCTGTGGTCCCAGCTACTTGGGAGGCAGAGGCAAGAGACTCGCTTGAGCCCAGAAGTTGGAGGTTGCTGTGAGCTGTAATGCCATGGCACTCTACCCAGGGGGACAGCTTGAGGCTCTGTCTCAAAAAAAAAAAAAAAAAAAAAAAAAAACAGTGGAACAAGTGAGAAACAGAATTTTCCTTTGTAGGAATTTTTAAGGAGGCACACAACTGCCTGTTTTCAATTGTTTGGTGGAAGGAAGAGATCTGGATTAGATGAGTGTTTAAGGTTCTGCTCAGTTCTCTTGCCCTGTAAAAAATGAGAAAAAGTCTGCCATCCTGAAGAATGGGGAAATGTGTAAGTTGGATGATTTTCCATTTTTACAGTTAAATTCTGCCCAGGCTAATAAAGGGTGTCCATAAAGTTTGTGTGCGATTTAAATTGCATTCTGCATAACTCCTTATGTAAATTATGGCAAAATAAGCTTCCCTTTTGAGGGCCTAAACTTAGGATATTAACTAGTTTCTCCTGAACTCCCTCTTCATTCAGGAAATTTTAAACAAGGCAGGTGTGGATGAATATGGGAGGCACTCCTCTCCCAGACCAAAACCTCTCCCTGCCAAATAAGACTTTGAACTAAGCCTCTTCTTCCCTTGGGAGAGCGTGGGCATCTATTCCTAACCCCAGCCATACGTGTTAACTTTCATCATAGTATGAACTATTTTGATTCAAGGGCTCATGATTAGTAAAACAACTTCAAACTGAACAGAAAAGAATGATTACAGATTTGATCAAAGCATAAAGCTGACAGAGAAACAATTATGAAATGGGACATTAGTGACTCAACAGGAAATGCATTTTGCAAGATGAGTTCTGACCCCACTTGGGACCAAAAGAGCAGTCATACCACCTGCCATCCCCAGATGGCACCCTAACCACAGACTGCTGAGTTTTCCTGCAAGAATGGCAGAACCTTCTGTGCCTAACTACAACTAAACAGTGCATTTTCCAAATCCCTAATGAGGCATGCTGTGATGGAGGCTTTGGTTATAATCAGCAGCTCCAATCCTATATGTGAGGCGGAAGCAGAGCTCATAACAGGACTTGCCCTTTTCATTTCCCTAGCTTCTCCATCCATCTTTTCCTTGGACTGAGAGGAAATTTTAATGATGAAGCAAAACATTTATTATATAATTTTTTTTAACGAGGAAACTCTCTGTTCTTGCTTTACATTTATGATTCCCTCAACTAAGTTTATGTATTTAACACAGCCACCTACCCCTTTTTACTACCTTGGGTATAACTCATTCCTGTAACACGTTAACTGAATGGCCACTGGAAGGCAGATTTGGTATTGGGTCACAAAATACAGGTACTGCTCCCAAGAAGCTAATGGTCTAACAGCAAGCAGAGAATTCTATTAGACTGAAGATCAAACACAGCAAATCCAAGTCATGGGTTAGAGAGCGGACCCTGTTCAAATCCTGCCTGGGCCACTTTCCATGATGATCCTGGGCAAACGTCACTGTAACCAGAGGAAACATCAGTACCTGTACCTCCAAGGGATTAAGTTAATTAAGCCATGAGAACAGAGCCTGACACACAAATCATGCCCTCAAAATGTAGAGTCAGTACACAGCAGTGGTTAAGAACATGGGCTCTAGCCAGACTCAAGGGTTCAATTCCTGATTCTGCTACATATCGTGGCACAGCCTTGGGGATACTCACCTAACCTTTGTGGGCTTTAGGTTTCCTCTTCTATAAAATAGAGGTAATAATGAAGCTGCCTTCAAGTCGGGAGGTTTGGTTTGAGGACTAAAGTGGTAACATGAATATGATACAGGCAGAATGATGCCTGGCATGAGGCAGACATTCAGTAAGTGGTGGCTATAACTTGTGCTATTCACTAGGAGCCACGTAGGGTCACCTGCGTCATGCTGGCATATGCTGATTGCTGAACAGACACTCAAGTGCCATGAGGTGACCTTGCTAACCCAAGCTTGGTCCATCCAGCAGGGCTCCAGAAGGAAATGACTTCTGGAGATAAACAGGAGTTAAAAAGAAGGGGATGAAGAAGGAAGGAAATTGAGTATCCAGCTTCAAAATAAGAAACGTAGCTGTGTACAGCAATTTTCTAAAAAGTATACACAGCATCAAAAAAAAAAAAAATGCCCCAAAGAGGCAGGCTGAGGTGTTGATGGGGAAAAGGAATCACAGTGAAAATGGCAATGCCATAGGCATGAGAGCTGTGGTGGGAGGAGGAAGTGACTAGCACAGTCTGTGAAGAGAAGAAAAGAAGGTGGAACTCTTGTGCCTGCTGGAAAACAAAGGTAGTGGTGCTCTCCATGTGGACCATGGAAAGAGCTGGAGCTCTACATAGGTTAAGTCTTTCCACACTGAGCACACACATGCTCCAGCTGGTGCTCACAAGCTTGTCATGACGTGGCTCTTCTGCCCTTTTTTAGAATTATCTACTACTTCTAGATAATGGCCTGCCAGTTTGGACTGAAGAGGTCTTGCTCCTGTAGCTCAGGGATAAAGAACATAAGTGCCCCTTAGTACACGTTCAGCCTTCTTGTGCATAATCTGAGACACTGTCCTGAGTGTCAGAAGACATGAACTCCTATCAGAGCTGAGACTGTAATTGGACACGTTAACATTAAGAAGGGATTTCACAGCTTGGCGCCTGTAGCACAGTGGTTATGGTGCCAGCCATATACCCCCAGGCTGGCGGGTTCGAACCCAGCCTGGACCAGGTAGGCAACAATGACAAATGCAACAAAAAAATAGCCAGGCATTGTGGCAGGTCCAGTAGCCCCAGCTACTTGGGAGGCTGAGGCAAGAGAATCGCTTAAGCTCAAGAGTTTGAGGTTGCTGTGAGCTGTAACACTACAGCACTCTACCAAGGGTGACATAGTAAGACTCCGTCTCAAAAAGAAATAAAAAGAAGAAGGGATTTCACTTCCAGGAGCCTCTATTTCCTTGTTTAATACTTAGGATAGCTGTACTTACTCTAGGGTTACTGGAAAGGGCATACTGAAAGCACTCCCCTAACAGGAAATACTACTACCAGGGAAAAGAATCCAGGCTTTGAAGCCAGACAGATATCAGTGCCTTTTATCAGCTGTGTGACCTTTGACAAAACTGCCACTCTCTGATTCTTAGTTGTAAAATGGGCTATACTCCTGCCCTACTCTGCTAGTGCAATGACTGAATACAATCATGCACATAAAAGCTCAAAGTAACTTTAGGAGGCCAAGGTGAGAGGATCACTTGAGGCCAGGAATCTGAGACCAGCCTCAGCAACATAGTGAGACCTTGCCTCTACAAAAAAATGAAAAGAAAAATTGGCCAGCCATGGTGGCAGGCACCTGTAATCCCAGCTAGCTGGGAGGTTGAAATAGGAGGATCCCTTGAACCCAGCAGATTGAGGTTGCAATGAATTATGATGACAATACTGCACTCTAGCCTGGGCAATAGATTGAGATCCTATCTCAAAAAACAAACAAACAAAAAACTTCAAATAGCACTTGGCAAAACAGTGCCTACTATATGTTTATGATTACTTTTCTTAGTGTTAATATAGTATTAATATATAGTGTTAATACAACCACTGACCCACATAAATTTCTAGGTCTGAACATCGAGATTTCTTAGAGTGAGTCTTATCTGCAAATTAATTCAGCACTATACCCAACTAATTAATACTAAGTAATTTACACCCAAGACCTCATTTGTGTGAAAGCTCTAGTTTATGCCTAGGCCAATTGCCACAGTGAGGACAGAACTGATCTCTGTTACAGACCCATTAGCTTTTCTCTGCTCCAAGGTTACAGATAGGTTCAGTAACACCAATCAGCTTTCTCAGAAAGAAACCAGTGAGAAGGGAGGAAACAGACACTAAATATCCCCCGCCATGCCCAGAGTGAGCATCTGGGCTTAGCAGAGCCTACAAGAGCCTACAAGTTATTCCTTCTTCCACTCTTTAAAATTGTCAAATAATGCTGTGTGTTCCTAAAATTTTCTATCTGGACAACATATTACTATGGCAATGTTTTGTTTTGAAAGACTAAAATGCAATCAGTTCCAAGAGCTCCCAGATGAAAAAGTGAATAAATCAGTAAAAACTAACAGTGGTTCTGGGGGGAAAAAACCAACTTTAAGCACATGTTCAGAACTACTATATCACTCACATCCTCTTCACCTGTGAAGATCTGAATGGGAGAAAAAACCCGAAAGTACAATTCCAACCAGAAAAAAGAGAGAAAAATTAAGAAACTTAGGCTCCTCTCAAGTAGTAATTTAAAGTTCAATTAGTTTAATGGTTTTATTTGTCAACTACAGTGGAAATTTAAAGCATATGCTAAGTGTTTCCAGACACTGCTTCCCTATTTTCATTACCCATCATGAACTTGCTACTGGATTAGGCACTAGGGTTCCAGCCATAAAAAGGGCTACTCTCCCCAAAGGCCATATTTTTAAAATGCTAAGGAAAACAATTCCAAAGGGAGAATAAAGGAAAGTGATGATCTTAAGAGACAGGAAGAGGTTTACATGTTTGGTGGCAGCTGCAGAGCAGCACAATCCTCTACAGAAACACTGACCCCACACTCCCACAGGGTGGGGTGGAGGCGTCAGGACATTCCTAAATGAACCGTGACACTGGGAGCAACACTGGGTTTGGGGAAATCGAGAATTGAGTGTTGGGTGTAGATCTGCCAAGGTTATAATATTCACTGGCCAATGGCCCTGATATAAACTGCACAAAATGGAAATAGTATGAGGCACCACTACGTGACCAAAAGGAACCACATATCACTTCCATTTTTATTTCATGGAAAAAACTACATTAGGAAGTGTTACAGCTCTTTTAGAATTTGCTTAGCAGAACTTTTTTATTTTTTTAACTGAAAAACCCTGAAAAATTTGGAAAATTTATGATAGAAGTAAAATGAATAAGATAGGGAATAAATTTATTTTTGTTGATTTCTGTAGAAGAATAAAACTGATTTGGAAGAAGATGAAAAGTGTCCATTAATAATTTGGGGCTGTTCAGGCCATCAATACTCAAGACAATTAAGACTATAATGTCGGCAATTTCTTTCCAACTCTCAGGCTCTGGAAGAAACAATTACTCAATCCCATTGTTTGAATTAGCCATTTTTTTTTGCATTTGTGTTTGATTACTACCCTGCAGATAAGGAACACTGTTAAATCAACATCATCCGAAACTTAACTTGGCTGCTCTTTGTATTATTTAAAGCACTGTTATTTTCTTAGAGCTAAAATTTCCCCAAGTAAAATACTTAGTAACCACAATCCTAAAACTCTATGTGAAGGTATTGTTAAAGAAAAGGACACACAGAACACAAAATTTAGAAAACAGAGGAGCAAAGTGTAGTTTCTGGGAGTAGGATTTACATCTCTGTTAGTAGAAATCACTGTTTCGAAAAGTAGTACACGGAAGGTAAACTGTGTCAACATAATTTACTTTTAGGCAGCTTCAAGAAGTCACCTTTAAAAGATGGCAGAATGTACTTTAAGATGGGCATTCTTTCTTCTAAAACTGCAGAGACATCACTGTCCCAGAATCAGCACTCACAAAATTAACAAATCAACACTTAAATGCTTAGTACTTGATGGATTTATGCTATAAGTAATAAAACAAGCAGTTTTTTCAAAATTAATTTTATCCTTTTTATAGTTCATTTGATAAACTGGTTCTACTATATTTTCTACTAAATATCTGTTAACGGTAATCTTACTGCTATGGATACACACCACAACCCATTATAAAATATAACTCATTGTACATTTATAGCTTTCTTTTGCTCTCTTCAATAGGCACTATTATTATATCTCCATTTTATGTGTACGGCACTGAGGCTGGAAAGGTTTCCATGACCTGCATGTGCTCAGAACTCCTAGTCTCCTATCCTCTCTCTACTAAAACTAGGCCTTGTTAGACTATATTATTTGTAGCTCACAAGTTACTATCAATAATTTAGGCTTGAGAAACGACAGAGAGCTTTTCTGTTTGAAAAAGAAAAGAAAAGGTGTTGTTTGAAACCATTCGATCTACCCTACAGTGTTCTTTACCTTCAGGAGAGGAAGTGGAAAATAAGGCATTAAGCAGCAGGTAGAACAGAAGAAGATCAAATGCGTCTTTAAATTTTCATTTCAACTGCTAAGCTATAAAAGCTTCAATTACCCCAATAACAACATATTTGGGGGGATATTAAATGCTTAAAGAAAGATTTAAATATCAGTTTCATATTTAGGGGTTTAAAACAAATTAGAAGGATTTATCCCAAAACGCTATTTAATTTACAAAATGTTTACTCCAGCAATATCAATAAAGCAGCAACATTAGTCTGGGAGTCTGGGAAAATTATGATCTTGGTGGCAGCATAGTTTTGCGATTTTCCCAAGTCCCTCCATAAAAAACACAGACCAAGTAGATAACAAAACAAAAAAATCCAGAGACGGTATTTTTAAAAACTAGGGGATAACCCCAAAATGCAAGGGAGTGGACTCAAACCACCAACAGCCACAAGATCTGCACCTATACGGTCTCAGGTGTACCCACTCCCCCTTTCCCAGACAGGAGAACAGCAGGACAATCCGAGGCCAGAAGCAGAAACTGGGAAGGGTTTTGCCCTCTCCAATAGCCCTGAGCAAGGGGGCCTAAAATAAAAAGGTCTGATGTGCTGGAAGCAATCTGCATCTCAGTACTCTCCAAACTACTCAGAGATGGCTCCCTTCCAGGACCTGCCCCACACTCAGGAGAACCTTCCAAGGAAAAGAACTAAATTAGAGCAGGATAGAAATAAGATGGACAAAAGAATGAGAAAGGCCAAGTAAAAGCAGGGCAGGAAATCTCACAAAGTAAGCCACCATATTTCTCAACAGGACCTGGAAATAGCGGAGGAGGGAGCTTTGTGAAGTAAGAACAGCTATTTGAACTAATTCACCTTCTAAAAAACGTGGGAAGTCTAGATTCACACACTAAAAAGCAAAAAAAGAAAAAAACCTCATGCCTGTAATCCTAGCACTCTGGGAGGCCCAGGTGGGCTGGTAAATTGCTTGAGCTTAGGAATTCGAGAGTCAGACTCCATCTCTAAAAATATCTGGGTGTTATGGTGGGCACCTGTAGTCCCAGTTACTTGGGAGGCTGAGGCAAGACAATGGCCCAAGAGTTTGAGGTTCCTATGAGCTACGACGTTACAGCACTCTACCAAGGGTAACAAAGTGACATTCTGTCTCAAAAACAAATAAATTAATTAAAAGAAAATAAAAAAGTGTGTGTGGCAAATCCCCAAATTACTATAAGGGGAAAAAGAATAAGGAAAAGAATTATAAGTAGCCCTATAGAAAGGTAAGGGCTTTATCTTATATGATCAAAAGAGATAACACTATGATATACTATTCAAAATGAGAAAAAAGACACTAAGATACAGAAAATGTTATAAATTAGACTTCAAAAAACTCAAAATGGAGTGACAGAAATCAAGACAAAATTATAAACAAAAGAAAAATCACTCCAGAAATGAAGACTAAACAAGAACACAAAAGCTAAGAAGGACAACAAAAGATAAAAAGCAAAAAAAAAAAAAAAGGTCAAGTCTAAAAAATGAACAAGGTTTGGAGAAAAACTGACAAATAATGGAAGAAAGGTAAAGAAGATAAAGCATATGGATAACAGGAGTCTCTCGTTAAGAAAAGCAAACCAAGGGAAAAGAATAAATACTAAAAACTATAATTCAAGAAAATACCTCCAACAGCAAAAAGACTAGAAACTATATATTAAAAGGAAAATGGGATAATATATTTAGATATTCAAGGAAAAAATCTTAAATATCCAGAGAAACTCACTTCCAAGTGTCACAGACAAGCTATTATTAACAAGAACTCAGAGAATATTATTTCCATGACCCTTTCCTAGTGACTGACCAGAGAACAAGCTTCAGGTGATCCAAAAGATGAGTGAAGAACTGCCATAAAAACTGAGGACAGTGCTAAGTGTGGTTCTTTACAGAATTAAGACAGGAGAGAATGTTCAAGGTAATGGCTATGTGATCTTCAAACTATAGAGTACATTGTTTTTAAAGGGGGGGGAAATTTAGATAGCATGGGCTAAAAAGTTGTCTGGTTTCTTTTTTTTTCTTTTTGAGACAGAGTCTCACTATGTTGCCCTTGGTAGAGTGCCACGGCATCACAGCTCACAGCAACCTCAAACTCTTGGGCTTAAGTGATTCTCTTCCCTCAGCCTCCCGAGCAGCTGGGTCTACAGGCACCTGCCACAACGTCCGGCTATTTTTTGGTTGCAGTTGTCATTGTTGTTTAACAGGCCTGGGCCAGGCTTGAACCCGGCAGCTTCAGTGTTATGTGGCCGGCGCCCTACTCACTGAACTACGGGCGCGGAGCCAGTTGTCTGTTTTTTTAAAAACTATTTTCAGCAATCAGAATGGTGGTGGTATTTTCACTCTGAGGCTATTGTACATGTAGGTACAATGTGAGGAAGCAAACAAGATAGATCTGGATATTCTACTTCATCCTCTGCATCCTTGAGAATAAGGATTCTCAATGTGGAAGAAAGCAGCCAAGACAGCAAAGAGGTTAAGATGTACAGGAATACTTCATTTTATTGCACTTCACTATATCACATTACCCAGATAAGCACACTTTCTACAAATTGAAGGTCTGTAGCAACCCTGCATCAAGTCAGTCTATTGGGACTATTTTCCCCAATACCATGTGCTCGCTTCATATCTCTGGGTCACATCTTGGTAATTCTCATGATATTTCAAAGTTTTCATTATTATTATATCTGTTATGAAGATCTGTGATCAGTAATCTTTAACATTACTGTTGTAATGGTTTTGGTGCCACAAATTACACCCATATAACACAACAAACAATCAATAAACGTTATGTGTGTTGTGACTGCTCCACCAACTAGCTATTCCCTCTGGCTCTCTCCCTCTCTTTAGGCCTCCTTATTCCGAGACAGAACAACATTGAAATTACACAAATTATTAACCCTAAAATAGCTGTTAAATGTTCGAGTGAAAGAGCTGCATGTTTCTCACTGTAAATCAAAATGTAGAAATGATTAAGTTTAATGAACAAGGCAGGTTGAAAGTCAATAAGCCAAAAGCTAGAGACACCAGCCAAGTTAGGAACGCAAAGAAAAAGTTCTTCAAGGAAATAAACATATAAATGGTAAGAAAGTGAAATAGCCTTACTGCTGATGTGAAGAAATAATTTAATACTTTGGACAGGAGATCAAACCAGCTATAACAGTCTCTTAAGCCAAAGCCTAATGCAGAGCAAGACCCCAACACTCTTCCATTGCATGAAGGCTGACAGGTGAAGAAGCAGCAGAAGAGTTTGAAGCTAGAAGAGTGTGGTTCACAATTTAAGGAAAGAAGGTATCTCCATAACATGAAAGTATAAGATGAAGTAGCAAATGATGACGTAGAAGCTGCAGCAAATTATCCAAAAGACCTAGTTAAGATCATAGATGAAGGTGCCTAAAACAAAAAACACATTTTCAATGTAGACAAAACAGCCTTATGTTGGAAGATGCCATCTAAGACTTTCATAACTGGAGAGGAAAAGTCACTGCCTGGCTTCAAAGCTTCAACAGACAGGCTGATTTTCCTGTGAGTGGGCAACGCAGCTGCCTGTAAGCTAACGCCAATGTTCATTTACCATGCTGAAAATCCCAGGGCCTTTAAGAATTGTGCTAAATCTAGCCACAGAACCAGTTACTCCCAGTTACTCCTGGAGCCAAAGCAAGAGGATTGCTCATGACTATCCTGAGCAACCTAGCAAGACCCCATCTCAGAAAAACAAACAAAAAACAAAAAAAACCCACTGTGCTAAATCTACTCTGCCTGTACTTTAGAAATAG